GGCTCTACCGTTCGGCCCGGGCCGCGGGCTGCTCCGCGGTCCGGGGACTTGTGTAATGGGGGTTGGTTTTCCTGCGGGGTGGGGGGAGGGGGCCGGGGAGGAAGGGAAATGACATCAGAAATCGCCGGGCGTGCACGGTGGGGTGACCCGGTTCCGCTAGCACCCCCCCCCCCGCAGGGGGAGGGAGGAATAAAGAAACTGTCACCGTGGGATTTCATCAGCTTCTTCTGCCTCCGTGCATTTAACCTATTTTTCTTTCCTTTGATTATGTAAGAGGAACGGTGTAGAGAGGAGCAATGAGCAGGGATGGCTGATGGGCTTTCTGGGGAATCAATCGGGTTTTTTGTGTCTGCCGAGTTAGCTCTGGGGAATGCGGGAGAATTATGTATTTACGCTTCTTGCACTGCTCCAAATATTGCAGCACAATGCAGGAGGGAGAGGCAGGGAGTGCAAACAGAGTGAAATTGACCAAGTTTTTTATTTCACGATGAGTGAAAATCAAGGGAGAATTGTAAGTAAAGGGTAAAAATCCTGTTTTGTTGATGTTCTCATGTAAGGAGGTACATGTGTATTTCCTTTTCTTTAATCTCAGTGTAAGATACAAGTTTATAGCATCACATACTTATATTTTCCTGTTATTCATCCTTTAACATGTTAACTTTATATTGAATATTTATTTGTGTTATGACATTTTGATTCAAAACTCCTTATGAGACGATCTTAATTTTTAAACTTATAAATAGGAAAGTGTATATTGAGGAGTTCTACTTTCTGAAAATGAAGTCCTCTTGACTACAGGAATCTTCTCTTTGAAACTGCTAGCCACAAGCAGTAATTTAAGTCTCCGTTATTTTGCTGATGCTGGAAACTTAGCGTTGGAAATACTTATTTCAGTCAGGGTTTAGGGGAGGAAAATGTGCTAGTGCTGAGTGAAGTGATTTTTTTCCTGTAAGAATTGTGTAGGTACTGAGATGTTAATGGATATTTTACTTTAGTTTCTATAGCTCTAAAAACTGGTCTTTCTGGTGTGAAATATTTTGGTTACTGTTAAAAGTATTTCCAAGCATCGGCAAAATAAAACGACTAAATTGGATTTGGTTTGCTGTTCCTTTTCTAAAGTATGTGGGGAAGTTTTAGTTTCGCTCTTGGATGGAAAATAGGAAATTAGAGCTACTTACAGGGAAGCAAAAAAGAAAAAGTAGTTTGGCAATGATGTGTTTGGAGCAGCACAGAGTAGGCCGATGACACTATGGAGAAAAAGAGGATGGAGATGGGGTTAAAGAGTAACATCTACTAGGAGCAACCAGAAGCAGTCTTCAGAATGGTGTTTCACAGCAGAATTCTGGTTAGTAGATAAGCACATACCTTTACCATCCATCTGCTAAACTGCTGGGGAGAAGAGTGTTTCCCAGAGTGTTTGTTCCTGTATCTCTTCTGCATTGCAACACCATCTGTCTGGTAAACTTCTGAAGTTCAAATCTGATACTTTTAATTTACTTAAAGTTTGCTCAAACATAGATGACCCAATGAATTGCTTGGTTCGTATGATAAGTGAAGGTTGGCCTGGTCTGATAAAGGGAAACTGTTATTAGTGAAACAATCTTGCTAGAGCGAAGTGATAGAATGACATTTCAGGAAACCAGTCTGGCGATTTTGACAGAAGCTAGTCTAGCACTTCAGGTTGAGAAACCATGAGTGTCGAGATGAAAACTCAAATGTGGAAGAAAGACAGTATACCACATATTCAGGGGAATAATAATAAAAACAGTTGTCCCAAACAAATAGATAACGTGATAAGTTTATTAATGATTATTTTAAGTGCTCTTTTTCATATACTTCACTATGTATGAAGCCAGTTGCCACTTTAAAAGTTGGGTCTCTGATTCTGTAGCTTAAATAAGTGCTGTTCCCCCCTTTTAACAGACTTTTCTTTGATACAGAGAGTAATTGGAGAGAGGAAGATGGACTTGATTAGATTCAGACTGACTATAAGAATTCCAATTTCCTATTCATGTTTGGGCCAAAAAAAAAAAAAAAAAATGATAAATGCTGGTTTACAAAACAGATATGATCGTTTTGTTTTTATATTGTCATTTGTCCAGTAGTTGAAGTATTTGTTTTGGGAAAAAGAAACAAAAGTAGTCTGTCTTCCTTCTTGAGTTAAACAAAAGTGGGAATAGAACACATGGAGGGAACTGTTTAAATGTGTTCCTGTTTAATCCATTCATATTTAAACTTTATTCTTCTGAGAGACCAAACTGTGAATCAGGCTACAGTTTTAACAGGCAGTAGATAGTCATGGTTTGTGGTGGTCTGCATAAGGTGTCCTCCATATTCTCAGAAATGGATTGAGAAGTGTATCTTTGTTCCTGTCCCTTGATCAATCCCATTTACTCCTGGGGGATTGCTATGTACCAGTCTTGACCATGACTGTGCAGATGGCGTAAACCACATTATATTACCAAATAATATGCTTGCTAAGTAAGTCTGAGAACATGGGGTGAAGTTGTCATTATGTGTGATTAATGAGTATTTAAAATATCTATAGCAACTTGAAATATTCTGACAATGTTTTTATTGAAGTACAAAAAGTCTTTTTAAAGCCTTACTGTGTTATTGGACTCTAGCAGAGAGCTTCATGTTCAGATGTGGTGAAAATACTTGTTTAGTTTTCCGCCGAAGTTTCATGAAAGCAGTGCCATCTATACATGAAAATATAAAATTAGAGCAAAGCAATACCAAAAATACTGTATTCATAACAGATTTTTCGTAAGAATCCATTGTGCCATTGTTTTAGAAATGTGCAAGTAGCTGAATTTTGATTTAAGTTGGTAGATACATTACTTATTGCAGCAACTTTTGACATAATGCTCTTCACATGTAAATGAGTTAGTCTATAGAAAGAAGCAGATGATGTATCTGTTGCTTGTGTGAAATGTACATGCTTGTAGGCCCAATAAAGGATGAAAGTACAATCACGTATACTAAAAAGTTGGTGAAATTTATGTTTCTTCTTTCTTTTCCAACAGAGAATATGAAACAGGAGCCAAAATGACATCCCGATTTGGAAAGACCTACAGCCGGAAAGGGGGAAACGGCAGTTCCAAGTTTGATGAAGTATTTTCCAACAAACGGACCACCCTTAGTACAAAATGGGGAGAAACCACCTTCATGGCCAAATTAGGACAAAAGAGGCCTAGTGTCAAACCAGATATTTCCGAAGTTCCTAAAAAACCCAAAGTTGAAGATGAGGTAACAGAGGATCCATTTGGATTTGACAGTGATGAAGAATCTCTTCCTGTGTCTTCAAAGAATGTGTCACAGGCTAAAAGCTCCTCTCAGCTGGAACCCGGTGAAGCTGCTCAGCCTGAGGACTTCACTCCTCTACTTGAAGCTAACAGCAGAATTAATCAGCCAGACAGCGGAGAAAACGTTGCATCCAGCAAGTGCATATCTTTTGACAATACTGTTCCTCTCGTAAAAGAAAAGAGCACAAGCAAAAATGTGGAAGATGGAGAATGCAAAGGCAGCAGTGCTAAAGTTGTAACTGCAGGTATGTTTACTTAGCTGTCCAGATAGTTCTGTTATCCTCTGATTTCTTACTAATCTACATTTAGACTTTTTGTTTTCAGGGGTTGGTTAAACGTTCTAATAAAACCGTGGGGCAATTCTTAATTGTAAGAAATTGTAAAGAACGCGCTATTTAACTAAAAACATCAGGAAGCATTCTGCATTTTACATGTTGGTCTGAGATCCTTGGCGCTGCATATGTCTGCAAGTTGAGATACAGTGCTTTAGTTTCAACGGATTATGTTTGTCCACCTTGAAAAGAATGGAATAATGAACTTCCTTTTCTAAAATTTGTTCTGAGCTCAGTGCATTTGTGTTTTGTTTTTAGTTTTTTTAACATATAGTATTTTGAAGAGTGATGGGTTGGTAATAATAGAATGCTTTATTCTTAAGTTGCTGGCTTTAATTTAGTGTGGGTACATGGTTACTCCCATGCAGCTGCAGGTACAGCTTACAACCCGCCATATTTAATTATTTGGATGGAAAAAATAGTTTTCTGAACTTCAGTTGCACAAAGGTTTTTTGTTTTTTTTTTTTAATTAGCTCATCTTTGTCAATTTGTACATAAAAAGCTTCAGACCTATGAAACAGAATTCTGTCAAACTTCTTCTAGGGGCTGTTTTCAGGCTCTGAAGTGTTTGTAAGACATCTTAATAATTTTGAGAGGGAATTCGCAAACCTCATGGAGCTGAACATGGCTGTAATTCTGTTCAAGTCATTCTTAGGCAAGATCAGATGCTATTATACCTCATTAGAAGTTTTCATATAATGGGTTGATTAGAGTGTAGCATCTAAAATTGGGCAGAAGATAACATTAGATGAACCTTGATGAAGATGACACCTACTGACTTGCTCTGGGTTATCGTAATCAACTTTAATGAGAAGAAATTTGTAAGTGTGAATTCTCAGATATAGTTAACCCTAGGATCAGAAACTTGAGTGGACTTGTTTGGTTGTAATACAGTGGACAAGAAGACACTGAACAGTGGAAGATATGCATAATTCACTTATTTGCAAGATAATTTTATTAGGGATACAGTACAAGAAAAAACAAATGTTGATTTGAACTGTAGTTTGACAGGCACATTGGTGGGACGGGTAGTTGTCTTTTGATCTTAGTCTTATTTTTGCTGCTGAAATATTTCTCGTTTTCATATGGTTTTCTGAAGTTTATTTGTCTGTAAGTATGATCCGTCTTCACTCTTGAAATACAAGCTATGTTTTGCTAAGTTTGAATCTAGTTTTTGTAAGAGATTGAATAGATTCATCCCCCAGTATTTACGAGGAGAAGAAATAGTTTCCTTGGTTGTTAATGAGAGATCATAGCAGAGCAGGTTTTACAGTGAAACGCTTTCCATGTAGAAAAGCTTTGTTAGAACAGTATTTTTCAGGTTGGAAAAGAAAACGTGAGAGCTGCGGGAAGAAAATGTGATAGAGCGCTGAAAATTCATAGTGCATGAAAGGTCAAGAGGAACAGACCAGCAGTTTCATTGGTGCTTCCTGGTTCCAGTACTATGGAAAATAATATAATACAATATTTAGCAAAGAAAAACTTTAATTTGATGCCTATTTAAATTCTAGAACTCCTTGTTAAGAGAATGGAATCTGAATCACAGAATGGTAGGGGTTGGAAGGGACCTTTGGAGATCATCTGGTCCAACCCCCACCAAAGCAGGTTCACCTAGAGCAGGTTGGATGGGAATGCATCCAGAATACTGTATATGCCATAAATATAGACAGCTCTAAAGTGGAGGAAGCTGATGAAACTTGGTGGGTAAGTCCATCAGTGGCAGCTGAGTGTGGTGGTGGTCTGGATGAAGAGGGTGAAGTTACTTAAACAAGTTTACTGAAGGAATTCTGTTTTTGCACACTTTCCTGAAGTATTTGTTACTGACTGCAATTCAGCCAGTAGTGAAGTACAAGGTGGATCTTGATGATACTGTTCTTTCAGAATCTACTTCATTCTGTTTACACCCAGTCAAATGAAGATAAAACCCCATTTCATAGCTTGCTTCAGAATAGATTCAACCGAGAATGAGTCTTTGCAAAACATCCTGGGAGGGTGTTTAAATAAGGGTAAGGAAACCAAGACTATAGTTTTGGTGATAGTGTTTATTTTGGACAGTTAGCGTAAATGAAACTCGGATGGTTTAGGCAGCTATTATGCTTGTGTGTAGGCTGATCCAAAATAAATAAAAAGTGTCTCTGAGTACGTCACGCTGAGCATTGAGCAATTGGAGATAGTGGTATAGTTAGCCAGTGTAAATGTAGGTACTTCAAAGGCTTCTTTGTTATATTGACTGTTAAGTAAAGCTTGAAGCTATCTTTCAGAACCGGAGAGAGTTAATTTTATTGATTTGGGAGTATGGGGGAAGAAGGAACTTGGGAGACAAAAACTGAGTTAGAATAAAAAGGTTGTTTCTTGTTGTGTGGCCTCCTAAGGTATACTTCTACTGCTTACATGTCCTCACCCTCCCCATAATCGTTTTTCCCTTCCTGGTGACTCTTGAACTCCACCAGGTCCAACCAGATTGTTTTTAGGGCTTGTAGATCCTTGAGACAGCAAGCTCTACTATTCCTGAAGTGGAGAGAAAGGGGTGGGGGGGAAGGCATCCAGATAGAGCAATGTTAATATTCCCAGCGTGAGAGACACTGCAATGTGAGCTCAACCTTAACCCACATAGGAAGGTGTATCTCTAGGTACAGAAAACTAGGTTATATTGGTACTGATGTTCATGAAAGTGATTGTTAACTTATTTTAAGTGCAATTTGCTAGTCCTTGCCCTGATACTGAGTAGACAGTGCATGAATTAAGATTTTGAGTCTTCCTGATAGCGCATGCCGTTATTGTATAGTAATTCTTAACCTAGGTGAAATAAGGTTATGAATTAGAATGAGGTGAAAACTGTGACTTAACATGGTTATGGGCAAGCTGAGAGGTGCAATTTAGCCTGTTAATCCTGCTCCAAATGTATTATCCTGCCTCAGTGTCCATTTCTTTGGATATTAAAATGAAGGGGATGCAATGTCAGTTAGTTTTAACTAGTGTTTGGGATTAAAAAGCAGTCTGCTTTTTGGGTTGTTTTAATAATTGTGCAGCCGTGTAACACAGTTGAGGATCTGTATCTTTTATATAAAACAGTATGACTTAGTGGTCTCTCCTAGTGGTTTTTTTGTTTGTTTGTTTTTTTGGTTTTTTATTTTTTTTTTAATAGCCTTCAGCTAGTGCTTGTAACAATCTCATTTTAAAGGCTTTGAGAAGCTCTTAATGTGGAAAGCTTCCCATAATCTTACCCTAATGTTGCTTGATCAAGACTTAATACTGTCGGAAGAATGTTCATGAGTCATCCTGTACGTAACAGGTAATTTACAGATAGTAGTTCAGGTAAATTAGAAATACTGAAAGTTTTGAGTGTTCAGTATTAATAGCTACTATTAGGCTACTTTTGTTAAGGTAGAAGGAGTTGGTAGCTAGAAAGTGAGTCGTGTCGTTGGAAAAATATTACACTGGTAATTCATATCAAGCAAAAATGCAACAGCTTAGTAGTTAGAAGGTGACCTTTTTTATGAGAGAGTCTTACAGTAGGTTAAGGTGAAAACCTGCAGAGCAACACTTGTTTGGATTTCTGAAACACCTTGGTGGGGTTTTTTTTTGTTTTTTAAACTGTTAAGCTTATTCTGTAAGGCATAAACCCAAATAGTATTTCACACTAAATTCACAGGCTTTAATATAAAAACACTTACAGCCTTGCAGAGCAAATTGTAATATGCTATTTTTAAAAAAAAATTCTTATAACTTTGTTCTTAGAAAATTTATGTTAGCTTGTGTTGAAATTAACGTAGTAAGATTTTTCAGATTAAAAGTAAAGTAAAAGCTTGCTGAATTTAAAAGATGGTATGGGATTTTATAATTATATTAGTGTATGAATACATCTCAGATTGGATAGCTACTTTGCCTACTCTGGCTAGTTCAGTTTAGGGAAATACTGCTGCTGGCATTGCTGTGTGTGAGCGTGCATTTTGACTCTGGATGTTGTGGTCACCTGCCATCTCAAGTGGTTGGATGATGTCTCTCATCTTTGCACACCTCGTATTCCTGTTTGTGGACTATGAAATAATACTACTTATTTAGGTTAATTCTAAGTTAAAATATTAGGTATTTAATGATGCTTTTATCTGAGAAGTGTTTTAATTGGGCATGGATTTAGTCTGATTTGTTTTAAAGCCTATGCGTTTTTCTTGAAAATATGCTTTGCTTGCTGTGGAGAATAGAAAATAGAATGGCTTAAAATGTCTCTTCAGAATATGGAGCAGTGTAGGAATAGTATCCCTTTCTGCTGTGTTGTGATACTAAGTACAGATTTTGTGGTTATTGTCTTGGCAGTGCCCTTTGAGGCTTTTTAAGATTAAAGGGACAAATTATTGCATTTAAAGTATTTGTGATACTTGGATTTTTTTTTTCCCCTGACATCTAGAGTAATTATGAAAAGAGCTGTACCGCATCTTGTCATTTGTCACCATGTACTGGTATTCAGACAAGTCCTAGGTCTGGAAGCAGTTTTGCTCATGGTGCTGTAAGGAAACTTTGGCCTGTTGTCTGCTATTCAGTTCTTTTGTGTTTGTGGGTAGTTCTCAGTGCCCTCATTTTTCACTTGGGGGGCTCATGCACATATCGGTAACAATTCAAAATGGCAGATGCTTCCTTCTTAATAACCTGTGCTTATGCCATGCAGGAGTGAAGGGATACAGCTGCGCTTAACCACTTCATCACCCAATATGCAGAATCTGGTTGCATTTAGTTGCTTGAAAAGCATACTGAGTAATTCGCAGAAAATGGTTGCCCTGAAAAGAAGATTGTTCAAGTCATGGGGTCCGTTCCCCACAGACTGTCCTGATAGCACCTTGGTGAATGTGTCTGCAAAGCCTCTGCGTCCTGATTATGTGGGTGGGAGAGCCCTGTCTTTAGAGTTAAGGTTCAACATC